TCGAGAGTGGCGAGGCCGATTAAGATCTGACGGACAGTTTTTGCATAATGCAATTTCTAATTAACCCACTTGAAAAATAAGACCCTTTTTTAATTTTATACCAGGTTCAATGTTATGAATATTTTTGCGCTCGCGCTTTTACGCCTTCTTGGACCCTTAAACTAACATATGCAATTGCAATTTTAACCATTTCTCAATTTTTCATTACTTTTTCAGCGGTTTTAAACAGTTCGAAAGTTTTGACTTTCTGCCACAAATCTTTAACTAAAATGCCAATCTATAACCCTCCTGGCTTAATAATTAAAATGCCGTTTACACACTCAATACAAGCCATTTGCACAAACTGGCTTGCACAAGCCTGATCGCACAAGCAAATCGTGACGTGTAAACGCAGGTTTGAAGTTGACGCAAGCCGAAAAATTTGGCTTGAGTAAAATCTATCGTCAAAATCTACTTCAGATTGTTGGCTTGAGCGTGTAAATGATGTTCAAGTCAGGATTATGGGTTTTGAATGAAATATTGCTACCACGTGCGGGATTTCCTTTGTTACATTTTCACTTTAATGTATTTATTTCCTAAAATTACCGTTGTATTCCATATATTAAAACAAAATTTATTAATGTAAATAATTGTTTGGATTATCGGATAATTTTTTTTTAACGATATTGAAAACATTAGCTTGAATTTGAGTACACTTGTTGGCAATTTTCTCACGTGATATCTGCAGTCTGTGATCTTTTAACTCTCAGGGTTTTACTAAACTAAACTAAATTACCTACTACTAGACCTACTAAACTGAATACCCGCTAAAAAAGAAACCTTACAGAAACGTTTCAAACTTGCCGTTAGGTATATTGCACAAATGTATGTATGTGTTTGTTCTTGTTTATTTATTTAATAAAAAAAATATTGTATACATATACAGTGAAAGCTCTACTTGCGGACAGCTCTAATAAGCGGACATCTCTCTTAACCGGACATTTTTGTTGGAACCGAATTTCGTTATACGGTTTTCAATGTAAAACACTTTCTTATAAGCGGACATTCTATTAAACGGACGCGGACATGATATTATGATCATG